GTATGGTCCATTTACAGTATTAGAACGAGTGGGCAAGGTTGCTTATGGCCTACAACTATCCCGGATTCAAAAATTCATCCAGTGTTCCATATATCTCAATTAAAAGCGGTGCTAGGTAAGTATCATGAGGTGAACCTTTTACCGAATGTTTTAAATGTGCAAAACGAAATTGTGGTTATGCCGCATGAGTTGTTGGGTACTCAGTTACACTGAAGAGGGTTATCTTGAAGGGTTGATTAAATGGTATGGGTTGCCTGATCATGAGAACTAGTGGGTGATTGTTCAAGACGTCATTAAACAGTTTCCAGCATTTGATCTTGGGGACAAGCTCCATTGTGAAACGAGAGGTATTGATAAGCTACAAAGAGTGTATTTCAGAAGGAGGAAAAGTGGAGTTACACAAGAGTCAAAGGGTCAACAGAAGAGTTGACCAAAAGAATGAGGTGGCAAGAAGCAAGAAAATATACTTCACAGAGTAATAAAAAGAAAATCTTTATCAATTCTTAGTTTCTTATGCTTGTTGTTTGTAGTGGAGATGAGACTCTTGAGGTTATTATGAAATCTCTGGAACTCGAGCATCTTTTTCTTTTCTGCAATTCTGTATTTCTCTTTGTAATTCTTTGAGATTGATTCTTTCAATTGAGTTTTGCAATTCATTGACAAAAGTTTAATTGTGTGAATCATGGACGATATTTATGAAGGTATGCTATTGATGTGTATAGAGTCTTAAGAATTGGTGAACTATAAACCGGTATGTATAGAATTGATTTTGTCAATTTAGCATAGGGTTAAGGACTACCAAGCTCAGAGCAAACACGTGTTAGTCACCAGTGAGTTGAAAGAAGAAGAAGAGACTTTGATCGAGTTTAGCTGCATTCTTTGTGGGTGGACTGAACATGGCGGCAGATATAGAACCCCATACATCTTTAAATCTTCTAGTCATGTATTCATCGGATACACAAGTTTGTTAGACATCAAGAAACGGGAGAGAGAAGCTACGGAGGCTTCCTTGAAATTTGAAGTGACCGACAGAGCAAAACTGATCACAGACCGTGAGGTGCTCAAAGTGCGGCTTTACTCTGAACTATGCACCCACTAAACCTGTTCGTAGCTTGTGTAGACATACTCTGACCATGGCGAGATAATGTCTGGTTCAGCGACCAATACAGAAGACAACATCACGAATGAAGAAAGTCGTTTCCAGATCGGAAGTAGAGAAGCCTCTGTTTCCACGGTGGCTCTAGAGATGAGCAGCGAGATCACAGAGGGAGTACAAGCCATCCCGTCTCAAGAAATAACGGTGAAGTTACTTTGGGGGTTAGCGATGATGCTACTCCAAAGATTGATGACAATACCAATGGTGGATACATGTCACATGTGAGCTCAGAAGGAGGTGAGGTTGTTGATGGGGGAATCTCCAATGAAAGAGGAGACCAATCCAAGAGTTGAAACATGCTCTTTGGGAGATACAGATGAGGAGAGTTTAATTAATGGCGCAAAAAACTTGTGTGAGATGTTGGAGAACCTTATACGGCGATGAAATAAAGTCACATCCAAATCAATAAAATAAATGTCTGGGTATCAATCCATATATATCACCTGCGGATTCAGCAGAAAGTGAAGTAATTATTAGTGCTGAATCTCGAAAGATGGAAGAGATCAATCAACATGATAAAACAAGCTCAATGGGTGATATTAGTATCCATGGAGTATCGATGTCACCTGCGAATTCAGAGATGGAAGAGATCAATCAACAAAGGCGAAACATGGTGTATCGATGCTACCTGGAGATTCAGAAGAGAGTGAATCAAATCAAATCAAGAGATCAATCGAAATGGTGAAACAAGCTCTTGCGTACCTACAGAAGGACATGCTGGGAAAGTTGGAGAGAGCAATCCTTTGTCTTATGATCTCCATTTCTTCTGGAGCGAAAGAGAATTAGAGAAAGAGGTGAAACATCCATCATAATCATGAAGCCAATCTTTTAAATTTCGATCCCACTCTTTGACTCTCACTCTCACTGATTGAAGAACCAGCCTTTCTTGCTACGGAAAGAAAGAGAGTACCGTGATTGGTTCCGATCAAGATTCCGATCTGTGGTTTAAAATTTTGAACCAAATCTACCTCTAGAGCCATCGGAATGATCGCCGACACACACCTCACCGTGAAATCAAGTAAACAAAAATCATGAATCATCGACATAAGCTATTTGAAATCAGCTCAGCTCTCAGCTTTTGTTAAGTGCCTGTTGGTTTTAGGGGCGGATGAATATGAAACTTGAATCGATTTGGGGATGATTGTTTGTTGCTACGGTCTCCTGCAGACGTCAATAAAAATAAGTGTAATGTCTTCTATTACACGTAAAGTTTTTTATAATAAAATTAACGATCATAAAAAGCAAATGTCTCATATCCATTGAACCAAAGCAAATTGTAGTTTGAAAAGTTGATATCAAATGCACGTACGAATAAATTCATCTATTTTTGCTTCTTATAATATTTTGAGTTCGTTTGCAACGTTTAAGAACCTCAAAAGTTATATATTTAACCAAATACGACTAATATATAGATAATTAAGTAAAGAGAAATCTACTACTTCTTTGACTACCAATCTCGAAATGAAAATATAATCTAGAAATGATAATTAATGTCCAGTTACTCATGCATTTTGTTTATCGCTCTTTCTCTTCCGTTCATAGATTCCTCGGTTGGTCACATCCTTCAAATTCAGGTTAGTTCACCACATGTAATATTAGCACTAGACAAGTCATAAACTTTCTATAAATCAAAGCTTCTACTGGTACAAAAACAAATGACATATACAGTATGTCTACTTGGGATATGATCCGGTTGGTAATGAATACTGAATACTTGGTTGTCTATAAGTTGATGGAGGATATGGCGATAGCGAAAGAGATGGTGATATTGAAGGGGTTGATGGATAATATGGTGGAGAAGAGCCCCCGTGTATTTCTCTCTTGGAGAAGTCTAATGGTAAATACTGATATCGAGGAATTTAATGGTAATGATGACGAAGGAATGACAAGATCATCAAATGATGATAAAGTGTAGAAATCATCACTGTCATTATCATCAGATAATGGAAGCAATTCTGGTCCAGCCTTGAGAGACCTGATCACACATTTTGATGAAAGAGGAAATAGCAAAAAGAATGAAACATAGTATCAGAAAAATCGAATGTAACTCTTTAGAACCAGAGTCATACTCACTAGAAACATGCATATCATATTTTGACAAACTCCAGTTTTATCATCATTGTACTTGATACTTAATATCCAACAACAAAAATCTTGACATAAGAAAGAGAATAAAAAGTGAGATATGTACTCTTTTATGCAGTGTTCTTTTATTATCCATTGCTATAGAATTCTTTGCGATGAAAATATTCACTAAAATGTTGATCCATACAAAAAAAAAAAAAAAATTATAGTGAGTATGATGAGAAAGATAATAGATCTTGGTTGGTGAAATTTTACCACTGGGCATGAGTTGTCATAGAGTTATCAGACTCAACTTCTTCTCTGATCCTTGTCCAACTATTGCATCTATGGGGTCTTTTCCGATTATTGCTCTTCTTTGACTATTGCTTCTTCAACCTTATCTTGTTGCATATATAAAAACTTCTCCCACCAAAAAATTATCTATCTTCCACTATATTATATCCAGATCGTTTAAACTTTTAAACTTATCTTCATGATAGAAGATACATTTCGTTGTCATTCTGCATAAAAAAAAATACAACTTATAATAAACCACAAACTACAGAACCAAACTAAAATCAAGTACTAAGTGATTTCATGATGTTATAGTGTACTAAGACACATATTTCATGGTTTTGAATGCTTTCTATTAAAGCAGACAGACCATATTTAGTGATTTCACCATTCATATCCACCATAGTCCTTTCAAAAGCCCAACAACCAAGTTCTCTTATTTTATCAAAGCATTTTGGTTCTACATTCTGGAATCAAAGACAATATTCAGTAATGATTTAAATAGAGAAACCGCCAGCACACAAAAATCAAACTTTAAACTCAAGGAATGTACCCCCTTCAAAATTTTAGAGCAATTAGTTTTTCCTTAAACAATATTCATCAAGGTGACTGAGTTTTCAAATTTGTATCATCTAAACTCCCTTTCAACAATTAATGACACAATTCCTCCAAGTTTTTTGAAAAAAAATTGTAACTATCCCCCATTCCTCGGTCATCAGATCATCTAGAACAAATTCATCTCTAAAAACAAAGTGTTACCTAAAACAATAAAAAAATCAGAACATTGCCCAAATAAAAAGAACAAATTCATTTCAAAATTTTAGTTTATTTCCTTGGACAAATTTCCTAGTATCAGGTCATATCAAATAATTGAAATATTTCTAAAATATATTGCTTATAAAAACAAAAACAATTTAAAAGGTCACTGAGAGGCTTCAGAAAAGAATTAACGACGAAAAAAAAAAGAAGCGATTAGCTTATTATTTTGTTTTCTTTTAATGTGAAAAAGGGAAAGAGTGAATTTCCCTCAGCTTTTGGTCTTTGATTTCACCCTATCCCCCTTTCTTCCTCCTCTTTCGTTTCTCGCGACTTCTAGGGTTAGGGTTTCTTGAATTCACGCGTTATTCTTCTACTGCAATTCTTGACCGGAGAAGTGATTTCATTGCAGGTAAGGTAAGTTTCCATAATTTCTTTCCTTCGTTCGTTCGATTACTGTATGGGATTTTCGTTGATTTTCTTCTTCTCTCGATTTGGGGTTTTCTTTCTTGTTTTCCCACCGTCAAGTGAATTTTCAACGAAATTTTCAATCTTTTGGTCGATTGCTCCGCAAGCCCTTTGGATCTGGTTTTTCCTGCCCAGTTGCTAATTTTCTCGGTCTGGTTTCGTATCTTGAGCAAAAATTTCGGATTTTTTTTACTTGAATGTATCTAATTGGCGATGAAATTTGCCTAGTTAAGCTGTCCGATGTGTGTTGGCTTAGTTCGGAATGAGGTTCGATAAATTCGTTTCCATGGTTTCAATTTCCAAAAGTTTTTTTCTCGCTCTGCATGATTCAGCTTCATAGCTTGAAGACTTGCCCCTTTGAATCTCGTTTAGACTATCCACTGATAGTGTTAACGAATCAATCTCTTCCGTTTGAAATCTGCTCTCTTGACCTCTCCCTCTCCCACTCTCTCTCTGTTGTTTTCTGTAATTACAGTTTCTCAAATGTTTGTAAGTGTTACATATCTGTGATTCAAAGCTAAGCTTTTAATGGAGTTATTGAGATCATAGCTATAGCTCGTAGTACACTACTTTGTCCTTGTGATATCTTTCCTTATGTCCTTTCTAGCGTTGAGTTTAATAACCATAGTAAAGTGATACGCATTTTGGTTCTGCTTTGCTATAGGTTGGGATAATTTGGATTCAGGAGATACTAATATGGCTGGAGTACTAGCTGGGGAATGTTCGTACAGTGAGAGCGGAGTTTCATCTCACTCGAGGAACTCTCATGAAAAGCAAGAAGAGGTTTCCCGCTGGTACTTTGGAAGAAAAGAAATTGAAGAAAATTCACCGTCAAGGTTGGATGGTGTTGACTTGAAGAAGGAAACTTACCTCCGCAAATCCTACTGTACATTTTTGCAAGACTTGGGCATGAGATTGAAAGTGTAAGTTTCTTCTTCACCTCGTTTTGTAACATTGGTGCATTTTCATCGAACTGCTTCAAGCTAGCTTTGTCTTTCTCGACATGATAATTCATCCAACCTGTCACATCAACACTGTGTACAGAATATAGTTCCAACCTGTATAATTGGAATTTGATTGAACTTTATGTCCTGCTATCTTTGTACTACATTAGTTCTAGGCTTCTAGCACCTTCCATCAGAAAGTCGTAATTCTATCTTAACGTTTCTTTCATTGACATGAATAAAAGGATGAGATAGTTACCAGTGGTGGAAAACATAATTATCAATGTATGAACTTTACTTCTTGTAGTTGTACGCATGGTTTCTGCACTGTTCAAAGCTTTCTTTTTTTGTTTGTTTTCATTGAAAGTGGCTGATATAGTTTTCCAATCAGTCCCCAGGTTACAATAGCTACAGCGATAATCTTCTGTCATCGATTCTTCTTTCGCCAATCACATGCAAAGAATGACAGAAGGGTGAGTTTATTGTTTTGCACCTGAACAAGTTGAATGCTTAAAACATATGGACTTTAGTCTGTGTTGTTCGAATCACTATGTTGTAGCCTGGCTAGTGTAGAATTCTTGGATCCTTGTTTTTTTTATTTATAATATTGGCTCCATCTCCTTGCCATGTTTCCTGGTAGTTCTAGATAGCACACCACTTGATTCTCACAGATAATTAGGCTGTGACTTTGATAGAGATTTAGCTTTTGTTTTAATTACTCTATGCAAGGATTACTGAATTGTGATTGTTGGCACTGATTTATTCTTCTAAAGCAGGAAAAAAAAAACTTAGATCTTTGCTGAACCCTTTTTTCATGTTGTTTCCACAGACAATTGCTACCGTATGTATGTTCCTTGCTGGGAAGGTTGAGGAAACCCCACGGCCTTTGAAAGACGTAATTTTTGTCTCCTATGAGATCATAAACAAGAAGGATCCTGGTGCTGCACAGAAAATCAAGCAAAAGGTGTGGATGAATCTATCGTTTTCTTTCCCCTATATCTTCTGTTTTATTTGAGGTTGAGTTTTGTACTACAAACTTTGCTTCTTCCTATTGTATATCCATGGTCCTTCGTCACTTATTTATTTTCTGGTTGTTATCAATGTGTATTGATGCATATTACTTTTGCAGGAAGTATATGAGCTACAAAAAGAGCTTATATTGAACGGAGAAAAGATAGTACTTTCTACATTAGGCTTTGACCTCAATGTTCACCATCCTTATAAACCCCTTGTAGAAGCAATTAAGAAATTCAAGGTTGCGCAGAATGCTCTTGCCCAAGTTGCATGGAATTTTGTTAACGATGGGTACGTTGAAGTGCTATTTTTCCTTCTAAAGCTTCCAATAAATCTATGTGCCTTGTATTTCCGTCTTCATACAATGACAAGTGGCTTGCAGTCTGCGGACATCACTCTGCCTGCAATTTAAGCCTCATCACATTGCGGCTGGTGCAATCTTTCTCGCGGCCAAGTTCCTTAAAGTGAAGTTGCCATCAGATGGAGAGAAGGTTTGGTGGCAAGAATTTGATGTCACACCCCGACAATTGGAGGGTATGTACACGATTAAACTGATTTGATGAATCTTGTTTCTTTGCATTCCCATTTGGAAATGATTTCATGAGACATCGCCTTTTGTATATTTCAGATGTTAGCAACCAAATGCTTGAGCTTTACGAGCAAAACCGCATCCCTGTCTCTCAAGGAAGCGAAGTGGAAAGCAGTGTAGCTGGAGGGTCAGCTCATCGGACAGGCTCCAGAAATGCAACTTCAGCCGATGAGCATGTTGGTTCTCGGCAAACATCAGTACGTCCAGCCCATGAACATTCAAATTCTGATAATCATGGAGGCTCATCAAAAGGCATTTTAAATCAGAACAATGATAATGGGGGTGGTGAGGCAGCTAATGTCAGTGTCGATCACAAAGAGGAGATAAAGAGAGAAATAAAAGAAAGCCCACATCTTGAAAATCATCCAGCTCATAAGGATAATGTGAGAGAAGTCCCCCATAACTCTAGACCTTTAGTTGATGGACCTGTGAAGGACAACTCGGAAAGAGAAGGCGGGGAGCCTCAAGATAATGGCGCTGTTCATAAATCTAGAAATGCTGATGTGAGTGATGTCCCAATCAGCCAATCGCCAAAAGACTTGAAGTTTCTTCGAGATAAGGTGAAGGCTCAACGAGAGAAAGCTAAGAAGTTGCTAGGTGAAAGGACGACGAAAAAGGATTTGATGGATGAGGATGATTTGATTGAAAGAGAATTGGAAGATGTGGAACTAGCTGTTGATGATGATAAGGCGAAGCAGAGGAACGTGCAGAGCAGGCCAAAGGTCGAGAGCTCCGATCACGTGGATACAGAACATGGTGACATTTCAGATGTTAAAGGAAGAGTAAAAAATACAGAGGAAGGCGAAATGGTAAACGATGCGTCCCCGATGATGCACAGCAGGAAGAGAAAAATGGGAAGCCCTCCTGAGAAGCAGTCAGAAGGAAAGAGACGCCACAGTAGTGAGAACGGTGAAGAAGGCCACAAGACGAGCAGAAGTAGTAGTAGTCATGGTGATAGAGACCACAGAAGACACTCACAAGAGAATAACCATTCATGAGAGGTAATGATTATTCAGACTGCTACTCTTGAATTCATCTTAATGGTCTTTTTCAAAGACCTTTGGTGGCACTTTGATGCCCAACCATGCGAATTTGACTTCTACATGGGTCGGTTCAGTCGTTGGAACCATGCTCAGTGTATTTTATATGTTGATTATATATCCTATTTGTGGCGTTTTGCACAATCCAACGGCTTGAACGAGAACTCATTATCCTAAATGGATATTGAGAAGCTAATTAGGGAACTTAAAATTTGCATTATGCCCTGCTTTTTTCCCCGTCTAATCGTAAACTAGGCAGCGGATTGATTCCGCTATGCAACTTCATACTTACATTTGCTTCCCTTTGCTTTATATATAAGCTCATTGGAGGAAAGTTTCCTCTGCTATTGTAAGATGAGAGTTTTGTCATTGCTGAGAAACTGATCATAGGAAGTATAGATTTTGTGGTCAGAGTCCACATTTACTTGAAAACGTTTTTGTATTCTACATTGTTCAACTGAGTTTACTTTCTATGGCTTGGCTTCTTCTAAATTTTGTTATTACAGTATTTTTCTGAGATACATTTTTGATGTAAAAGAGAAACCTTTGTACGGTATTGAAGTTAATTATGTACTTAATCTGCCTGGTTCTGTTTGACTTAAACATTTTCTTCAGTTGTGTCCGAAATTCCATTTATATTTCGAAATTCTAAAATCGATCCATGTGAAAAACGTGGAATTGTAAAAAAAAATGTAATTTGACCTAACAATGATAAAAGCGAAGAAGGAATCATCGTCACCACGAAAAAGGACAAATCTTTACTGATTGGGTTGAAAAGTTTACTGTAGTGGAATTCGGAGGAGATAGGCAAAAGTCATGAAAGAATCTATGTGCTTTATTTAATAAGTAATAATCGTTGGAGACTTTTCATTTTGGTATGGATCAGCAGAGAAACCACAGAACGTAGCCATGGAAATCGCTTCATGTTCGATTCTTAACAATCTTCAACTTTCTTGTACAAAGACTTCTCCTTTCACTCGATATTTGTGCGAGCGAGCGTCACACGACACCGGAAGACGCAATTGCTTACGTTTTTCCAATTTCCCAGAAAAATCCCGGATTCTCGGAAACTGCCTGCGATTGCAGAGACAGAGATTCTCTGCGCGTTGCTTATCAGCGAGCAGAGAAGATGTAAACCCATCTGAAGAGCTCGCCGTGATACTTGAGGTTGATGGGTAAGTTCCGATGAAGAAAAAGCTTCACACTTTCTGATGAGATTGTATCAGCAAGTTCTTGGTTTTGCGTCAGTGATGGGTTAATTTTGTTTTTGCTTTTTTATTTCAGGGTAATGATTGATACATGGTCAAGTAATCGCCAGGCGTTCAATGTAGGTGCGGCTTGAATTACCCATTCTTTTACAAGTTTTTTCAAATTCCATGAGATTTGTGGTCTGTGATGATTTCTCTTTTCTTATCTTGTTGTTCTTATTGTGAATTCCAGCTTTTCAAAAGCTTGGGCTCGACTGTGCAAATTGGCCTGAACCAGTTTATTCAGACCTGTTGAGGTAAAATGGCTTTTGGTCTCTTGAAGTTTAGTTTGAAATCGCTGAAGAATTGATTCATTTGTTGCAATTGATTACATATATCTTAGATTCTGATTCTAGGGATTAAAAAAGTCCAATTGTTATATCAATCTTGTAGATACTAAAGCTGATAGTTGTGTTCTGTTCAAATTGTTTTTTGCTTCTTTGTTTGTCTTGCGCTTATAAACAATGGCTATTTTCCTCTTCGATTGAGTTCATTTTATAATTGCATTTCGTTGGCTTAAAGTGTTTAGTTGATTATTACCAGAAAGGGTGCTGCTGATGAAGAGAAAATGTTGGGTTTGTATTTCAACCAGGTAAGTTATCAAATTTTTGCTTAAGCCGAAATGTGACCACATGAATGATTATCAAAATCTGACGCTTCTCTTCTTCTCAATTGTTTATCTCTAACCTCTTTTCAGATTGGGTGGCCTTCGTCTTTGCCTACCAATGAGAAAGGGAGTTTTGTAAAAAGTGTTTTGCGAGAAAAGGTTTGCACGCATATACTTGAACATGATGAAAAATTTCAGCTAACTAGAGAATAACTCCATCAATTGCTTAACTTTTTCAACTTGTTTGTTGGCAGAAAAATGCAATCAATGAGTTTCTAATGTCCAAAAGCTTACCTCTGAGATCTGGAGTCCAAGAGTGAGTCTCTTTAGAATATGCCTGATGGTTTCTCTTTCATATTGAAACAAAGAGCTAGAGACTTTTTTGGTTCTTGTATTTATAAATTCAAATTGGTTTATCTTTTTGCGCCTGTAGGTTTATCGATAATGCGTCCACGGAGAAAGTACCTGTTGCTATCGTAACATCCTACTGCAAGAGTGGAGACAAAGTAGCCTTGTAAGTAGCTAAGCTCCTAAGACACATATCCTTTCTTTAGTTCTGGCTGCTCAATGATGCACAAACTTCAGTTCTCCTGGAGATCACTAAGGTTCATACGTATATGATTTTGATACAATCCATGATATGCATTCTCAAAGGTTAAATTTGTTGGAAACAACAGTAGCCTAGGAATTTGCTTCAGGATCTTGAGGTTTCATTGTGTTTTCGTTTTTGGTTGTATAACAACTCACATATTTTAAAAACCGAAAAATGCAAGTTTAAAAGTACTGTTTGTGAGGAAACTCTACAAAACAGTCCATTAGCATAAATAAAAGACTACATAGGTTTTGTTTCTGTTATTTCTCACCAATCTTGATTGTTCTTTTGTCTTTATGATGCGAGTATATAACAGATCCGTTGTTGAGTTGCTTGGCCAAGAAAGACTTTCAAATGTGAAGGTTATCGGAGACAGTGAGGTGGAACAGAGTATGTATGGTCAACTTGTTTTTGGCAAAGGAGTTTCTTCAAGTCTAGAAGAGCAACTAGTGAAGGAAGTAAAAAAAGCAGGTATAGAGCTCGGAGACAATCTGCAAGTACTTTTTGATCTAAGATCTTCCCTTGTAATTGCAGTAAATATCTCATCTTGTTAAACTTTTTTCCTGACTAGCGTCTGCTGAGAGACAGAGGATAGCAGAAGAAGTTGCATCGATGCTAAAGCTAAGTGTGGACATAGACACAAGCTCATCTGAGAGGTGGAACTCTCTGTTCTTTTCTACAACCAATTGCATACCTCAACAAGAATAATAAGAAGATATCTTCTGGTTTTCTTCTTTGTTCAGATTGGAGAAAATCGTTGTGGCTTTGCGTGCTGCTGCGGAATATGTTGGATTACCTGTAAAAAACTGTGTACTTGTTGCTGGTAGTCAATCTGGAGTTTCTGCTGCAAAGATGATAGGCATGCCATGTGTTGTCATGCGAAGCAGGTATGGTCTGATGTCTCTTTTTCGATTTTTGTTGCTGATACAACACATGTAAACCTTAAAAATTATATCTTCCTGAAAGTTTGTTCTTTGGTGCATGTGCTCATTTTCGTTATCATCTCTTTCTTTCTGGTAGTTTAACTGCAAGAGGTGAGTTTCCATCGGCGAAAGGTGTAATGGATGGCTTTGGAGGTGCAGACTTAACAATCCCAAAGCTTAGGCACAAGATTAAGTCTTGAAGAAACAATTCATTTGCCCAAAAAAAAAGAAGAAACAATTCAAGAAAGCTATCTCAGATCAGACACTGGAAACACCGTCGAGCGTTTGGTGAAGTTTTCGGCTTATTTATTATAGCTGCATGCTGTAACATATTGATTCTTTGTAATGTACAACCTTCTACTCAAACTAATGTCCATTTAGTTTCCAAATCTCTGCACATTCGTTCTTGTCTTAGCCTCAAGGTAATGCATGATCAGAGGAACCAGAAAATGAGGTTCAAGAAAACGTAATATGATTCAAATAACTTGAGCTACTCTATTGCTTCATGGCTCTACTCAAAATGATATACTAATATGATTTCGTTTTCAAGTCTGCCTACATATAAAACTTCAGTGCGATTTTTATGAAGAACATTGTCAGAACCGATCTTGTAGTTTGGTTTACATTTGAGAGATCTCTGTTTCTTGTACGTTGCTGGTGTTTCGTCTCTGAACCAGTGCAGGGCTTGAGAATTCAGCATCATCATCAGCGAATGATGAAATGTTTGATGAGACAGATTCTGATATTGTGCTTGAGATGGAGTTTGATGGAGACTGCTGGTGTCTGTAGCTTTGGGAAGCTGAGAATGCTGGTGCTTCCTGAGTTGCTTTCCCTTGCGCTTCTTCCGCGAGCTTTCTTAGAAGATTCATAACAGTTGGAAGAAACTTTGACGTGATGGAGAGCACACCAGCAAGCTATAACCGATGCGGGAAACATGCTGTTAAAAGAGAATGTCTTGTGTTCGAAACCATTCAAGGATTAAGTAATGAGAGCTTACAGCGCCGTGTTGAAATTCCCCAGGAACGTCGAGCTGCACCCATAAGGCTTTCGAGAGTAGAAACGCCACAAACAAGCCTAAGAGGTATAACGGATTCCTGTTCCATAAACAAAATGAAACATCCCAATGAATCTAACTTAGCTGAAACACTAATGGGGAGAATCTAGAATGAAATGTACAGAAGTGCTAAGATGTTGAACTTTACTTCAAGAGCATCATGAATTCATTGAAACCAAGGACAATCATCAACACAATCGCCCAAGCCGGTGGAAGCCAGTTGTTATTTCGCTTGTGAGCTTCCTGTAGAGTAGAAATGAAAACATACCATTGGTTAAATTACGAAGATGACACAGAAGTTCTGAGGTAGACTTGCAAAATTATTACCTGTGAAGAGATAGCTTGGGTTACGGTATACTCGGTCTCAGATTTAAACTGTCTCCAGAGAGACTTACACTGTACTGGCGTCAGAAGCACGTCTTTTGGAGGAACCTGTATCCACAAAACCAAAACATCGGTCGGCATTACCATCGCATGTGCCACAATGCTACATATTTCGGGTAAAGTGGAATAATTTGGTTAAGTTTATGTTCCATTTTGTGTGATGTCTCAGCAATGGTCACATTTATCAACCAGATTCTACTAGAAATCACTGAATCAGACTGTTTACCGCTTCCCAAGAGCTAGATGCAAGTGGATCCGTAGAAGTTCCGAAGCTTCTGTTGTTGGAAGATGCAACAGAGACAGTTCCATCCATGAGAGAAGAGAAGAGAGTGCTCTCAATTTTTTCCGGTCTTTCATCCAAACGTATTGCAGACATCACGGATAGAAGAGTTAAAGCCTACAAGATAGCAACAGACAGAGAAAGTTTCATGACATCAACTTAGCCCTCTTCGCCATTAATTCTTAGGAGTTACCTCTGCGCGAGCATCTTTTGTAATTGCTCTAATATCCTCTTTTCCAGTCCAGACCCGTGGCATTGAGTCTTTATCATGACTGAAGACCGTTGAGAACCTGAAATGCGTTTGGAATAATATCAAACAACGGGAACTGAAATACGAGGCTATCAATAAGAGTCTACTACTCCGATCTTTGTCTTACCTATCTTTCATTCGGATCAGAATTTTAGCAGCTTCTTCTCTCGCCTTTTTCTCCACTAAACTCTGCGAATACTCCTTTAGATTCTGAACCATAGCATCAATTGTAGCGTGATCTAGCTCAAAACCAGTAACCACATCCAGAAAATCTGTTACAGCTGTTTCAGTCTCCCGTTTGAGAAGTGTCCTTATGGAAGGCCACGTCTCTTTTCCACCAGCTTCAAACAAAGACTCGACAGGTTCACTCAGTGCTTGAATTAGGCGTTTCTGTAAAAGACCATAAATCAAAACAAATATTAAAACGATCCCTTAACAATTAAGAAGTCAGAAGAAGAGAAAACACAAGAAGAACCTCGTAGTTGGCAGTTAATTCAGAGAGTTTAGCAGTCTCAGCAGAAGATGTGTGAGAATCAATGTCACGACAAAGTTTCTCTCTAATTTTTGATGCATCCCAAGTCGCTTGTTTAACCGCAGCATCTGAAGGGACGAACACAATTTATAAAAGACGCTAGGCTTGATCAAATGTTATTGTAGTTTTTGGCCAAAACAATTTGTTTCTCACAAGGACACTTTTGAAGCAAAAAGTGAAATACGAACTCTCACCTTTACATCCTTTGTCAAACACAAGCAGGCAAGACTGTTTGGAGTTCCGCACAGCACTTGCGAATCCTTCTCCTTGATTCAGAGACTGTTCCAGTCCGGTCTTAAAGGATTCCAGTGCATTGGATCGTAAATGTCCCAATATGTTAGCATAAGCAGAGTGCACAAACTGGAATTTGGAGAAAATTGAAAATAAGAGACAATAATTATCATAAGTAACCATATCCTGAGCCAACGCTATTAATGCAAATTCAGAGACGGAGGTATTCTTACATCCAAAGCTTTAGATTTCAGCTGTAGACGCTTTTCTTTTCTTACTCCTTCATCAAAGTATATTGCCTCTGCGTCGTATCTTAGAAGGGCCAGGGGTAAGCGAAACAAGATTAGGCAAAATTTCTTTGCTCGGGAATTAAATACTTCAAGAACCAAGAAAAGAGGAGCTTACTCTGAGAAGTATTTTTCAAGGATAGAGCTAAGCTTTCTGCCAAAACCAGGAACCAGACCACCTACTACGGCTTTTTGCAACTCCAACCAACTCTAAATAAAGTGTACCCCGTTATGTCTCACAAAACATTTAAATCAGCAAAAAAAAATTTACAATAGGTAAGGAGGCCACCGAAGCACACCTCGTCGGTTGCCAAGTGATGTAGCTTCTCATCAGCTATCTCTTCACACCGAACAGTGGCAACCATTACCTTCCAAGCATAAAACAAAACAACATCAGGTCACAAGATCAAATGACATGGTTCAAGCACATAGATTTGAGTTAATAGAAGACCTTATGAGCAGGAAGGTCCAAGTCTCTATTCTCTTTTATGACTTTCCAAATCTGCTGGGAGCTGAAAGAAAATCCTGAAGCAGGAACTACACCACGTCTATCCCCAGCAAGTCCCCCAGGTGAAATGGAATGGAAAAACCTCTGCCTCAACTCAGCAACCTATTTAGAAGTTCGCATTAAATCAATGGAATCGATCTTAGGTTTTACTTTGATTCTTCAAAAGACACATGTTCTATGTATCAGAAGAATACCTCTTGCTTAAACACTTTTTCTTTCTCTTCATAGCTGGATAAGGCAACTACTTCCACCTACAAGAATATATCGAGCCAATTAGACATGTATATTCATGAACAATTTGGTAACAGCACAACATTAATCAGATAGAAGCATCGTCTATGTGGGAAGACTATCTCCTTACATTGAAGAATTCACTTAGTGGTGTATTCTTGTGTGCTTCAGGCTTGCGAACTAAATCCCATATCTGCAACAAATCATAATCAGTACCCAGATGAAAGAGGAGAAAACAGTAACTAAAAGGAAATGAAGAGAGAGAAAGTGTATGTTACCTTCTGAATATCTTCTCTTAGAACAGGTTCAAGCAGCGCTATTGGAGTCTAGGGACAAAAGCATAAGTCAATCTAAGAAAAATGACTTTCACCATCAAGAATCATATTCAATTGCAAAAACCAAACCTTTGTTTTATCACGTATGACAAAAAGAAGAGTTGTTTTCCGAGGGCTGAACAATCGCATCATGACCTACAATAGCAATAATGACCAAGTTATCGAACCTGTTCATTGAGTAAAACATTCCATATGTAAACACATCATGATACCTGGAAAACTGTCTTAAGTAATGGTTTGTTGGCAGCCTGTTCCCTTCCAATGTCATGGCACCACCTATGGATTTCATTATTTCAATAATAAAATAACAAAAAGGGTATCTACAGCCCACGCCTAAGAGCTACATTATGCCTGTGTTGGTAGATGATCTTCAATAAGTTTACTCAAAATTAACTTTAACACAGTACTTAAGATTCAGAAAGTATATCAACCATATGAGTATTGATGGGTAAATCTGAAATTATATTTGTCTTCTTATAATACAGGCAGATTAGCTTTCTCCTTCCATGGTTTATGTACATCAGTAATAGTTATCAGAAAAAGAGCCAGAACAAAACATAGAGACTCACATGTTTATCAGTACAATATCAGCAACAGCCAGAGCAAAGAGGGCACTTTGTTTCTCAAATGTAGTATCATCCTGAAAATTTTAAAACCATTAACAGAAAGAATAAGAAGAGAACTGCTCGAAACACATAAAAAAAAAGATTAACAAGTATAACTATCTGTACAAGTATCTGCAAGATAATAAGTATCCATAAATTTTCGAATTTTCTGAAAATTTCTTAGCAAGTTAGCCAAAACCATATTCTTTTTGAATGTGTTGCAGTGAAGATTGCGTATCATTATTATTCGTCTTACCTCGCCTCTTTCTCTACCATCAGTACCCTCCAAATCCATGGCAAGTGTGAAAGGCTCAATTCCAACACACCTAGCCATCCAAATACCTTTTGTTGTTTGACTCCTACAAGAAGAAGACGAAGACAAATCACCAAGTCAACCAAATTTCAACCCTAAAAATGGCATAGCCACAAAAAAAAAAAAAAAAAAAAAAAAAAAGATCTTAAAGAATATGAGTACAGGCAATTCGCTAACCTTCCCGCAAAAGCATCCATTTCCCTAAAACTGGTTTTAAAAAGATGATTCAAAAGTGTACTCTTCCCTGTTTATCACCAGCAAATACATACCACAAATAAGCAAATCAAAGTCAAAAAGACTCAGAAATCGTATACTGATTGGAGTTGAACTAATAAGAACCAGAAACTCGAATCCGAAACTCAAAAGGAAGAAGAAAAAGCAAACTCAATATAATCTCATACCGCTACTCTGAGGGCCCATGATTGCAACAACTGCATAAGAAAGTCCACAATCAGAGAGCTTCGTCTTCTTCACGAAATTATCCAAACCTTCCACGTTAAATTCACCATTCCCATCGATTAGCTGAGTCGAGCAACAATCCTCGCTTTGCCCCATATGCCTTCTTTAACGAAATCGAATCCTATGGCAGAGAAGATACGGATCTACAAAACCCCAAAACAGCATAAGAACTCATAAATTCGATAAAATTCCATCTCCTTAGAAGCATACATGCATCAGCAAAGTAGAAACTAGTTGGGGTTTTTGCTTTTCTGACCGATTTAGGTAAACGTATACACGCGATTTGTTTTTTGGGTAGTTCACTGTTGCAGACGAAGAATGAGAAGCAAGAGAATGAGAGAAGAAGGCGAAGAAGAAAGAAGAAGAAATACAACCGCCTAAATTTCAGCGAGAAATATACGAAGCTTGTTTCTCGAGTTTTCTGTCTCTTTTGCTTTTCTTGAGAAGGAAAATGATATTTTACGTTTTTTGAAGATTTTGTTTTTTGGGCTCCTCCTAGAACATTACGATGACTAGTTGATTTCGGTCGATTTTTTCATATAATTTTTAAGATATTACAGTAATCAAACAGATAAGCAAGCCATTCTCTACTAGTAGTTAACCCTGAATGATAGAAAACTATACATTTCATGAACGATTCACATCGATTATAACATGATCTTCGAGAAAGTAAGACGAGAACAACAAAAATATTCAACTACCGCTAAGAAAAAAGGTTTATAATGATTCGGCATAAGAAACGTTTGTAATATCCTCATGTAATAAACATATTTAATTTTTGTAATAAATAAAAGACTAATCCTGAACTAAAAAAAGACAACATATCGAAAACATACACTGCCTTGCCTGAAACAAGACGAAACTTCCTCTCCTCATCTATTAAACTAAATAAGTCTAAGACGACAAGAATCTCTTTTCCTAATGACCCAAAAGCTGTTGATAATGTTATAGAGACTATGGTGGTTCAAGGTAAAAGCACTTTTTAACTTTACAAATCATCCTTTAGATGAAATTTCAAAGCTCTTATCATGAGAGAAGCTGATGAGTTTTCTGCAATCTTTCTCTTTTTGTTCTTATCTCCCTTGATGTATAAGGTACCTTCCTCAGTTGGAGTCTCAATCTTAACTGCTGAACAAACTAATCCCTTCCCTGCCTTCTCAATACTGAACAGAGAATGTTTTTTTAAGTTAATACTCGCACAAAGTGAAAAACAACCAAACTCACATTTATCTTATGGCTAAAGTTTTTCTCTACACTACTAGATTGTAAGGTGTATTTAACTATGGATTACCAAATGCCTTCTCCTTCCGGAGATTACAAGACTCTAGATAGAATCAACTAGGACATAACATGACATCACAAGTGTGTTGTATGGCTTTAATACCTGTAAATCGGGTTGGGCCATTTTCTCTTGTTGCAAATCTCAATCAACTTCTCCTTGGCATCTTCGATTTCGATGTCAAGACTATCCTCATCCACAACCATTTCAATGGGCATACCTTCTGACAACTTCTGTAACGCTTTCTTAGCAGCGGTCAGCTTCGCATGATGTATATCCCCTCTGGGATTCCCACAAGCTATATACGTATCATCAAGATACACCTGAGCAACAGTGGGCCCGTAGGGCTCGCCATCGCAATACCTGAACTCGACTCGCTTTCCGTGTTTATCAGCCAGACGAAATAGCGTAGCAAGTGGTTGAGGTTGCCGCCGCAAATCATCCAGTGTATATACTGGCTCGAAAAGAAACCTGCAAATCTGCAAAAAGAAATAAAAGAAATTCCCTCCTTTTAGAGCTTGAGAACCACTCAAAACAAATCAATGAAATAGTCTGTAAGTGAAACACAAACACAGACCTCCCAGAGTCTTCGTACATCAAAATTCACATCAATATAAATAGCTCCAGCTACAGTCTCTATGACGTCACCGAGGATTCTTGGGGCGTTACTGATTCCACCATACGGAAGTGGATCATCTTCTTTGCTCACAGCCTCTATGAATTTTCTTGCCTAATGAGAACAACACCAAAATTTGAGAGCTCTGTTTCTAAGAGAACAACAAAAAAAGCTTTACTTATGATGCGAAGCCAGATTTTACCTTTTCATCTGGTACTTCGCCTATAAGGAATTGGTAGAGGCCGTGTTTGATGGCGTCACGACCGAATTTCTCCTTCGTTATATTTATCCACCGCAGAGGAGTCAACTCCTTGGGCTCGTAGTTAGGGTATGAGAGGTAGAAGTGAGTAGTGAAGGCGAGGGAAAGAGCAGCTCCGCCGAGGAACTGAAGCCGAGAGACTGAAGAAAGCTTCTCGTAAGGTGAGCGCGTAAGCGCGTCCTTGAGTAGTCCCTTGTTCACGAAACTGTATTTCAAAATCTTCTCCACGGCTTCCACCTCCACGGAATCCATCTCTCGAATCATTTTTCTTTGCAGATTCTTCTTCTTCTTCTTCCCTACACTCTCTTGCATTTCCGGACTCCTTAAGACAAGACTCATTAGAGGAGATTTCAAGGCTCTTAACATGTGGTAGGCTGAGGAGTTTTCTGCTTCCTTTTTCCTTGCTCTTTCTTCTCCCTTCGTGTGAAACGCACCTTCCATAGTTGGGATCTTAATCTTGACTGAACAAACAAATCTCTTGTCGTGTTTTACTCCTACTTCCTCAATACTGAAAAAAGAGTTCAAAGCACAGTAACAAAATGTTTTAACCAGCGAAATCTCATATTGATCTTACGATTATAGTTTTCTAGAGCATATACACACGTTCTCTCTAGATTGTAAGATTTTCAATACGAATTTGCATACTTCTTTGAGATAATAAGACTATAAACTACTTAAGGATATAAATTTGACTTTTGGATCGTGGTTCTTGTTAAGCAGTAAGTATATAACTTAGAAAAGAGAAAGAGAGAAAAAAATCTAGGAAAAATGATATACCTGAAAATCGGATTGGGCCACTTTCTTTTGGTGCAAATCTCACGTAACTTAGCTTTCGCATATACAGGTTCAACCTCTAGACTATACTCATCAATAACCATTTGTTTCTGTGTCATTTCATAGGTTAAAGGGTTCTCAGAGGCGGTGGGCAAACCAGATGATCCATTCTGTAACGGGAGCTTCCGAGTGGAGCAAGTCTCAACCATCTTCCCTTTCACATCTTCAGGTTCAACATGTAGACAATCTTCATCAGTTGTTGGCGTCATTTCTGTCAAAAGGGTCCCAGAGGTACTAGGTAAAGAAGATGATCCGGTCTGTATCTGGAGCTTCTCAGTGGAGCAAATCTCAGACAACTTCCCTTTCGTATCTTCAGCTTCAACGACTAGAACACTATCACTGATAACCTTTTCAACGGGCTCAGATTCTGACAACTTCCGTAACGCTTCCGTAGCAGCCAACATCTTCGCAACACATACCTGCTTAGCACTCCCAGAAGCTATACATGTATCATCAAGATAAACCTCAGCAGTAATGCCGCCGTCTTTGCAATCGCGACACCTGATTTCTATCCGCCTCTTGAGCTTATCACCCAACCGAGAAAGCATGTTGACTGGTTTTTGCTGCTGCCGCAAATCCTTCAGCGTGAGCATTGGCTCCAAAAGACACCTGAAGATCTGCAAATCCCTTCTTTAGCTTCAGAATTCGTATAGCTTAGAATCAGAGACAAAAGGTAGAACGAACACAGACCTCCCATAGCCTTTGTATATCGAGATTCAAATCAACGTAAACAGCTCCAGCTATGGACTCCACGAGGTCAGCGAGGATCTTCGGGGCTTTCACGGATCTCGCATACCAAAGTGGACCATCTTCTTTGCTCACCGCCTCTAAAAAATTTTCCACCTAAGAGATTGACATAAGAACATGTTTTTCACTAAACCCATAAATCTCTGTAGCTTTTTTCCTTATGTTCCGAAAAATATCAGATGCAAACAAGCACAAAGAGATTATTACATTTACAAGATGATCACCATCGTGTATGAGCAACTTGTGGAGGCCGTGGTTGACGGCGTTGCGAGCGAATTTCTCGTTACATACATTGATGGATCGCAACGCACGCTGCTCCTTCAGGTCGAGATTAGGGTACTCGAAGTGGATGTGGTTCGTGAAGGCGAGACCGAGAACCGAGTCGCCGAGGAACTCGAGCCGTTCGAATAATGGAGACTTCATACTAGACTTCATCGTACTAGTTGAGGTGGGCGTTAGCGCTTCTCTCAGCAGGCTCTTGTTCTCGAAACTGTAATTCAAAATCTTCTCCACGGCTTCCACGGGACCCATCTCCGGAATCTTCTCCACCGAATCCATCTCCGGCATCTTCTCCGCCGAATCCATCTCCGGAATCTTCTCCACCCAATCCATCTCCGGCATCGTCTCCACTGAATCCATCTCCGGAATCTTCTCCACCGAATCCATCTCCGGCATCTTCTCCACGGAATCCATCTCAGGAATCTTCTCCAGGGAATCCATCTCCGGCATCTTCTCCACGGAATCCATCTCCGGAATCTTCTCCACGGAATCCATCTCCGGAATCCTCTTCACCTCCACGGCTTCGACGTGAACCATCTCCGGCCAAAGCAGAACGGCTGAGCTGAAAGGCGGCGCGTCGAAAAGACTAAAAAGAGGTAATAAGGTCACACGATAAGCAGGGACCGGTCGTAAATACAAGTAGAACCTCTATCAATTAATATTTAATAAATTAATAATCATTATTATTATAAATTAATAATTTATACCGATTCCAAATCAGACCAATATAAAAACTAATAAATTTTGATAAAATAATAAGATAATAATTTTTTTGAAACTCCTATATAAAAATATAGTCACAATAATTAGATAAATTAATAATTATAGATTTAAGCATATATAAATAATATAATATAGTAAAATATAATTATATTATTATTTCAAGTTTATAAAAATTATTTGAATTATTTTTTAAATTCATTGATATGATCATTTCTGAATAAATTTTATATTGTTGGAAATATTTTTTTGTTTTTGACAAGTATTTTTTAAACTAAAATATCTCTCTATAAATTAATAAAATATTAATTTCTCGATAAATTAATAATTATTAATTTATCGATTAATTAATAACTCTATAAATTAATAAATTTTTGAAATCCCAACATTATTAATTTATAAAGGTTTTACTGTACTAGTAATTTTTTTAAAAATAGAAAACGAATAACATTTTGAAAGTTTGAAAGAGAATTTGGAAAGATATGATAATATGAAGGACTAATGGCAAAATAGTGTAGTGACTCGAAACCATAATTAGAAAATTACCCGCAGGTTCCGATTTCTCAGAATAGAAGAAGATTTTGGGTTTCCCTTGGCTCTTTCTCTCTCTTCTCAGTTTTCACTCACCGGCTTCTCTTGTGATCGTCGGCTGTTAATTTTTCTTCCCATTACTGTGTCCTTTTCGAGAAACCAATCGTTTTACCAGTTGCAGCGGTGGAAACGCTGTAAATTTAGACTCTAATTGGTAAACTTTGCGCAATAGCATAATGGTAGAAAAATGCAATAATTTTACCAATAAGAAAAACAAAAAAAACGCAAAACACAAAATCTGTAGAATTACGTTTTTGCTTACAAAAAATATAAAGAAATCTTTAATTTTTTATCAACTGGAAAAATATTTTTGAAATAGATTATTTATAGAATCAATATTTATATTATTTATTTATATAACTAGTTATATTTTATTTTTAAATAAAAAAAAATAAAAAAAATTGGTGCTATAAAAATTATTTAATACTAAAGTTATATCTATTATTTAAAGTTTGCAATATTTTTAAAACTTTATATACTTTTTTATTTTGAAAAACAAATTACAAAAAATTACAATAAGAGTTATATTATTTTATAATAGTTAATTGAATTATTAATATTTTATTTTTTATAAAAAATAGTAAAAAAAATGTTTTTAAATAATCATAGCAATTTTGCTATTTTGCCATTCTACATGATTTATCCAATTATGTTAAAAAATTGTATTCTGCAATTTTTTTTTTCACCGTTCCGCAATTTCACAATAAGAAAAATATGTTACCAATCTAAGCTTTGGTTTTTGTCAAGGTTTAGCTACCCTTGTAACGCAGTTCCATTTAAACGATTCACAATTTAGCTTCAATATACTAGTGCAAACTTTTGCTTATTATACATGTAAACGTGTAAGTTTTGCTTATTAGATAGACATATTATAAAAAAAAAAGTATTTTGTAAGTAAAAAATTAGACTCTAAAAAATTTATATTTATAAGCTTATCCCACACACACGCCTTTCAATCCGGACTAGGAGAAAGAGAGTTTTCTAAATTTAATACTATAACTTTTTTACTTACAATATGTCTAATAATAAGCAAAACTTACCATGTATGTTGTTTACATATCAATATTTGTTTATTAAGTTACATAAAGTTCTCTATTTCAGATAGTTTTACTCAAAAAAAAAGTTTTTTTGGTCAACACTAAAAAAAAAGTTTTATAAACAAAAATATAAAGTATTATTAAAAATGCTAAATCATTTCCAATATATGATACTTTATTTAAGCTTCTAACTTCTATTTATAATAAAATCTTCTTTATATCTTATTTAAAAATAGAGAACTCTAGATTTACAAATAAAATTATTTTTAAAAAGCGGAATCTTTTTATTTACAAAATAATTAATTATATTTATTTTGTATCTGAACAAGGTTATATGTTTTTTTTTTATATGTAAACAAAATTATAACAAAAATATATCAACAATAACTAGTTATATAATTAATTAAAGTTTGAATATGCAATGACATATATTAAATTAACATGGCATAATAAATGATAAATCTAAAATACATAGTTCATATTAAAAATAAAGATAAGAAAATTCAAAATACTTACTTGTTAGAGATGGGATCTGTAGCATCCGTATCCGAGAAAATGTGGAATGATCGTACCGGACAGGGTGTTGTCCGAGGAATGACCGAGCCAAGGGTCGGATATTGGCTGGGAAATGGAGGTTCAGACTATGGTCGGGTGATGACCGAGGAAATAGTCGGGTATGGACTGGATAACCGAGCCGGATAGACCATATCTGAGGGAAAACAGGGTCCAGTCCGAGGGAAATGGGATTTATCCGAGTGCAGTGGGATATATCCGAGAGTCTATGAGGTTAGTCCGAGTGTCTGTGGACTGTCTCCGAGGATGAATAGGAAACCTTCGAGAGAAATAGAGGATTAGCTGAGGTGGGACAAATTGTCCGAGAGAAATAGGAATATCCGGATGAAAAATAGAAAACACCTCGGATAAGGGCGGTTTATCTGAGTGGGAAGGGATTTGGGCCATGGGCCAAGTGTTGGTCGGCTATTTTGGGGTTTATCGAAGGATGGGTCGAGCCGGTACAGGGAATAGCCGAGAGAATCGAATCGGACCGGGATAAAACTTACTGAAACCGGGAAAACGTCGGATAAGTCCGGGTTACCTAGGGTTTTGCGAGTATTTAAGGAATTTTGAGACTTTTCTCGGGAGAGTTGTGTTTATTCGAGAGCAATAAAGCAAAAAAATAGAATAGTCGAGAGAAAACCCTAAGAAAAACAGTTTATCCCGAGGACATCCGAGAGAGATCAGGTGATCGCCGAGCAAATCCGACCATCGCCGAGATAAACTGGTAAGCGATCGGATATTTCCCTAAGTGTTGAGTTTTCATCGGATAACCTCGAGCTAATAGCCTTGTTTTGTGGGGTTTCTGAGGGAAAACAGAGTTTGGCTCGAAGAAAGGTGAACGGATCAAGAGATAGCCGAGGGGATAAGGATCAGATCGTACCGTGAGTCGAGAGATTCTTAGGGAGATCGGATATCTTCGTTTTGGTGCGGTTTTCATCGGGATTTCTTCTGACCAATCTGTTTCCAGCCTTGTCTAAGGTGAGTGCGTGACTGTGGTTAGGTCTAGAACCGTAGGATTGCTAGGGTTGAATGTTTTACATGCTGGATTGTTGATTTTCATGTTATGTGTGGTTAAAGTGGATAAACGGTTAAGTGTTGTGATATGTTAGGGTGTTTACCGAGGCATGTATGATGTTTAGCTAACCTCAGGGTAATCTGGATCATGTACTAGCTTAGGGGATTGGGTCTTAAAAAGGGATTAATCTTGGTTGGTTAGGCTAGATGATCAGGGCCGTTGGATATTGATGTGTTTATTGCGAATTGATTGTGTTGAATGTTGAATCCGAAAGTATTGCTGCGTGTTTTGGTACTGACCAGGTGTTACGGGATGACCGTACTCACTAAGTATTTATGAAATACTTATGCCTCTCATTTTGAGTGTACAGGTACTAAGCTGTAAAGGGGTGAGACCAGGCGGCAGTGATGAACATGGATGGATCGGGGGTTGTGTGTTTTATGATTTAAGACTTGTGTTAGGGTCTTATGGCTTTGGTGTTTGATTATTTTAGGTTGCTAGATGATCGTTTGTATTCATTAGCGAACCTTGTGAATTGATTTATATAGAACCCCGAATCTTGTTTAAGTGTTTTTGAGAGTTAAATGAATGAAATGAGTTATTTATATTCCGCTGTGTAATGATAAGAATGACTTAGAAAAATAAAAGAAAAGTTTAAAAATATGGCTAAGTATATAATTGGACTTAGAGGATGTAGTGGGACATAGCCGTGGTACAGTTTACTGGGTTGGGTTACCACAGGATCCGTACCCTCTCTAAAAGCTCAACATCAATTGAGATCAGTCTATTTCGGAAACCCTGAAGAATATTTAGGCCGGCTAGATAAATGGAAATCTCCCATTATCGGATTAATTCTAGAAAAGATAGAAAGTTGGCTTTATCGACAAGAAAGTTTTCTTATTTCTCAGGAAAAAAGTTATCTCTAGAAGACCGACCTGATCGGGTATAAATATAGAAGCCTTTGACTTCTCATAGCATCCACAAATCATCTCTCGAGACTTAGGGCAAACTAGCAATCTTGTTGTTCTTAGTTCTCGATTTACTTCCATAAACACTTTAGGTTGGCGTTTTTATTCTGACGACCTAAAACCACCATGTACCTTCTCGAGCTCTGGCCTATTCTTAATAAAGATCTCTTTAAACTCATTGATTCTTGTTCTTTTTATAAATCAAATTTGAGATATCACAACAATCAATTTCAACAAACAACTTTTGCTTATTATACATGTAAGCGTGTAAGTTTTGCTTTTTAAATAGACATATTATTAAAAAAGTATTTTGTAAGTAAAAAATTAGACTCTAAAAATTTTATATTTATAAGCTTATCCCACACACACGCTTTTCAATCCGGACTAGGAGAAAGAGAGTTTTCTATATTTAATACTATAACTTTTTTACTTACAATATGTCTAATAATAAGCAAAACTTACCATGTATGTTGTTTACATATCAATATTTGTTTATTAAGTTACATAAAGTTCTCTATTACAGATAATTTTATTTTAAAAAAAAGTTTTTTTGGTCAACACTAAAAAAAAAGGTTTATAAACAAAAATATAGAGTATTATTGAAAATGCTAAATCATTTCCAATATATGATACTTTATTTAAGCTTCTAACTTCTATTTATAATAAAATCTTCTTTATATCTTACTTAAAAATAGAGAACTCTAGATTTACAAATAAAATTATTTTTAAAAAGCAGAATCTTTTTATATACAAAATAATTAATTATATTTTATTTTGTATCTGAACAAGGTTATATGTTTTTGTTTTATATGTAAACAAAATTATATCAACAATAACTAGTTATATAATTAATTAAAGTTTGAATATGCAATGACATATATTAAATTAACATGGCATAATAAATGATAAATCTAAAATACATAGTTCATATTAAAAATAAAGATAAGAAAATTCAAAATACTTACTTGTTAGAGATGGGATCTGTACCCTCTCTAAAAGTTCGACATCAATTGAGATCGTTCCATTTTGGAAATCCTGAAGAATATTTAGGTCGGCTAGATAAACGGAAATCTCCCATTATCGGATTAATTACAGAAAAGATAGAAAGTTAGCTTTATCGACAAGAAAGTTTCTAATTTCTGAGGGAAGAAGTTATCTCTAGAAGACCGACCTGATCGGGTATAAATATAGAAGCCTTTGACTTCTCATAGCATCTACAAATCATATCTCGAGACTTAGGGCAAACTAGCAATCTTGTTGTTCTTAGTTCTCGATTTACTTCCATAAACACTTTAGGTTGGCGTTCTTATTCCGACGACTTAAAACCACCGTGTACCTTCTCGAGCTCTGGCTTATTCTTAATAAAGATCTCTTTAAATTCACTGATTCTTGTTCTTTCTATAAATCAAATTTGAGATATCACAACAATCAATTTCAGAAAATGGTACATCCATGTGTGTTTTGAATTAATCAATGGAAGGAAAAAAATACATATCTTTGATTACTTTTTAACTAAATATTAAAAATAGATTATATATAAATTTTAAAGATAGTCCCAACACATAATTAAATCCCAAAAGTGGCAAAACACATAATAAAGTCCCAAACACATAATTATCATAAAGTCTTAAACACATAACACTTAATTATTATGCGGCTTTTTCATTTTTTTTTGTCTCGAAGAATTATACCAACAACTTGCTTCCATTTAGCTCCACCATTCAAGGACAATTAGCAGCGATACAGTTAATGATAACGGTAACATCACTGATTCCTTCAGCAAGACAATCCTTCAGCAAGACAAACACTCAGCTCTGTAGTCATTGGCGCTGTCCAGATTTGACGATTTGTTGAAGAGGGTGTAGCGACAGGAGCGCATGGATCTGCCTCTGCATGGTTATATCGAATTTAACACGTAAATTAAAAGATGGATTCGCTAGTTCGTATGGAAGCATAAAGAATCAAAATGCTTGGAAAAAAGCTTAGTGATGTCAATCATTTATCTATCTGTATTTTCATTTTTCAACGGTAGATAGTTAATTACACGATAATCTGAATTTCACTCAAAAAATTAAAAGTTAGTAAACAAACCCAATATATCATAATCAAACAAAAAATCATCATTTGGAACTAAATCAAAATAAATTTTTAAATGATCAACAATTCATTACTTAGAACTGAATCAATAATAAATTTTTGAATGATCAACAATTCATCACTTGGAACTGAATTAATAATAAATTTTTGGAAATTAACTAATGTATCTTGCAAAATCTCATCAATCTTTTCTACTAAAACGGTTAGTTGAATCTAGCCGTACTCTATAGAAAACTTTGGCTCATAACTTGAATTTTAGAAAAGAAGATGAAATCCATTCATCCATGTATGAACAAGCTTTGTACAATTCTGACTGTTGAAATTTTTTAATTTACTTACATTAGTCACCAAATCAAGAGAACGTTAAGGAGAAGATGAGCAGTGTTTTCACCCGATAGTTTATCAAATTTCAATCTCCCCATCAAGTCAGCCATGGCCTGCCACCAAAGTGTTATAATGATATGGATCCTGAAAAACCTCACACTGAAACCAAATTATAAAATCAACAATTTCGTTAGCTGCATTGATTCTTGATTGAAAGCATATGATCATACCTACTTTCTTGAGAGAATTGTTGTGTGTGGTGGCAAGCATACAATCAGTTAAAGAAAATTGGTTTATACTGGATTTGGAAACCAAAGTTTTGTCAAAATTCTTAAAAGGACAGTTAGATGCGATCAATGTCAGGATATAATTTATCATGACCATCCTCTTAATTACACATATAGTCTCAGTTGATGCAAAAAAATCTTGTAAATAAAAATATATTTGAAGAGGTGTTTTTTCATGCCATAGACACTAATTTTCAAGAGAGTTCAGTTATCCTGTTGGTTACTCTAAAATGGTGATTTCAGTGTTTTCAATGAAGACTTAGTAAATGATGGTTATACATTATTGGTAGTAGTTGATTTTGACGAAAATGTCTTAACCTACAAGTGATGATCAACAATTCATCACTTGGAACTGAATCAATAATAATTTTTTAGAAATTAACTAATGTATCTTGCAAAATCTCGTCTATCGTTTCAACTAAAGTGGTTAGTTGAATCTAGCCATACTATATAGAAAACTTTGACTTATAACTTGAATTTTAGAAAACAAGATGAAATCCATTCATCCATGTATGAACAAGCTTTGTACAATTCTGATTGTTGAAAATTTGTAATTTACTTACATTAATCGTCAAATCAAGAGAACGTTAAAGAGAGGATGAGCAGTGTTTTCATCCAATATTTTATCAAATTTCAATGGCCTGCCACCAAGGCGTTACAGTGATATGTATCTTGAAAAACCTCACATTGAAACCAAATTATAACATCAACAATTTGGTTAGCAGCATCGATTCTTGTTTGAAGGCATATGATCATACCTACTTTCTTGAGAGAATTTTTGTGTATGGTGGCGAGCATACAATCAGTTTAAGAAAATTGGTTTATACTGAATTTAGAAATCAAAGTTTTGTCAAAATTTTTAAAAAGACAGTTAGATGCGATCAATATCAAGATATAATTTATCATGGCCATCTTCTTAATTGTACATATAGTTTCAGCTAATGCAAAAAAAAATTTTGTAAATAGAAAGATATCTGAAGAGATGTTTTTTTCATGCCATCGACACTAATTCTCAAGAGAGTTCAGTTATGCTGGTTGCTTCGAGATAGTGAATTTAGTGTTTTCATTGAAGACTTGGTAAATGATAGTTATACATTATTGGTAGTAGTTGATTTTGATGAAAATATCTTAACCTACAAGTGAGTTTCTGCTAACCTTATATTTGTCATGTCGTCGTAGTTGTTTATTGTGATAATGGTCTATTTTGTTAAATATTGTCCAAAAATTCAACAATTTTTTTGAAACTAACTAAACGATGATGTAATACCTAATGGAGAACAAGTTTCTCTTTGATAAATTATGGTTATACATTATTGGTAGCAGTTGATTTTGATGAAAATGTCTTAACCTACAAGTGAGTTTCTTCTAGATTTGTCATATCGTTGTAGTTGTTTATTGTGCTAATGGCCTATTTTGTTAAATATCATCCAAAAACTCAATAAATTTTCTGAAACTAACTGAACTATGAAGTAAAACCTAATGGAAAACAAGTTTCTCTTTGGTAAATGATGGTTATACATTATTAGTAGCAATTGATTTTGATGAAAATGTCTTAATTACAAGTGAGTTTCTACTAACCTTAGATTTGTCATGTCGTCCTGGTTGTTTATTGTGCTACTGGCCTATTTTGTTAAATATCATCCAAAAATTCAACAAATTTTCTGAAACTAATTGAACTATGAAGTAAAACCTAATGGAGAACAAGTTTCTCTCGGTGTGGTTGCATTTTTGATTGATGACTAGTGTAAAGTCAACAATACGTATGCTATGCTTCTTTTATAATGAAGCTCCAAAAGCACTTTCGAACTTTACAGATCATCCTTTAGACATAATTTCAAGACTACTTTCTCCTTCTGTTTCTATCTCCCTTGACGCATAAGGTACATTGTTCCGTTAGTCTCATTCTTAGCTGAATAAACAAATCCCTGACCTTTTTCAATTCCCCCAGCTTCAAACACAGTAAACATAATGTTATTAAGTTAATATATTCGTGCTTATCGAGGCACACAAAGTGAAAACAACCAAACTCCCATTGATCTCAAGACTAGTTTTTCTCTACACTAGATCATTTTTCCTCGCTTTCTCTTGTTGTTCTTCTTTTCCTCTGAACTTTTCGGCGTCTGCAGATTCTTCTTCTTCTCCACTGAACTTTCCGGCGTTTGCAGGTTCTTCTCTAAACTCTCTTGCATTTCCAGATTCCTTATGACAAGACTCAGTAGAGGAGATTTCAAGGCTCTTAACATGTGGTAAGATGAGGAGTTTTCTGCTTCCTTTTTCCTTGCTTTCTCGTCTCCCTTCATTTGAAACGTAGCTTCAATAGTTGGGATCTCAATCTTAACTGAACAAACAAATCTCGTGTGGGGTGTTCCTCTTACTTCCTCAAAACTGAAAAAGAGTTCAAACACAGTAAGTCAGTAACACAATGTTTTAACATGCGAAACTCATATTGATATCACGATTATAGTTTTTTTAAGAGCATATATATGCGTTCTCTCTGCCCTAGATTGTAAGATTTTATATAGCAAATGCGTTCTACTTCTTTGAGATTACAAGTCTCCAGACTACTACTCACAGATACAAATTTGACTTTTGGATCATGGTCCTTATTAAGCAGTAAGCATTACTTGGAAAAGAAAAAAAAAAGATGACATCTCAAACGTGTGTATGCGTCAATAATGTAGGAAAAATATAATACCTGTAAATCGGCATCGGCCACTTTTGGTTGCCGCAAATCACAATCAACCTACTTTTCGCATCTTCAGGTTCAATCTCTAGACTATCCTCATCAATACCCATTTGATTTTGTGTCATTTCATAGGTTAAAAGGTTCTCACAGGAGGTGCACATATAAGAAGATGATCGAGTCTGTATTCGGTGTGTGCACAAAGAAGAAGATGGTCGAGTCTGTATTTGGAGTTTTCTAGTAGTAGAGCAAGCCTCAGACAACTTCCCTTTGCCGTCTTCATGATTAACTTTCAGACTATCCTTATCAACAACCTCTTTGTTTTTTGCCATTTCATAGTCTGAGGTGTTCTCAGATAATGGGAGCTTCTCAGTGGAGCGAATCTCAAACATCTTCCCTTTCACATCTCCAGGTTCAACTTCAACATGCACACAATCTTCATCAATAACCATTTTCGTTGGTGTCAGTTCATAGGCCAAAGGATTCTCAGAGGTCGTGGGCAAAGAAGAAGATGATCCGGTCTGTATCTGGAGCTTCTCAGTGGAACAAATCTCAGACGACTTCCCTTTCGTATCCTCAGCTTCAACGACAACACAATCAACCTTTTCAACGGGTTCAGATTCTGACAACTTCCGTAACGCTGCCTCAGCAACCAACATCTTTGCAGCACATACATGTTTAGCACTCCCAGAAGCTATACATGTATCATCAAGATATACCTCAGCGGTAATGCTACTGTCGCCATCTTTGCAGCATCTGACGTCGATCCTCCTCCCGAGCTTATCACCCAACTGAGAAAGCATGGTGAGTGGTTCTTGCTGCTGCCGCAAATCCTCCAGCGTGAACATTGGCTCCAAAAGACACCTGAAGATCTGCAAATCCCTTCTTTAGTTTCAGAATCCGTATAGCTTAGAATCAGAGACAAAAAAGTAGAACGAACACATACCTCCCAGAGCCTTTGTATATCGAAATTCACATCAACGTAAACAGCTCCAGCTATGGACTCCACCAGGTCAGAGAGGATCTTCCGGGCTTTCACGGATCCACCATAAGAAAATGGATCATCTTCTTTGCTCACCTCCTCTGAGAATTCTTTTACCTAAGAAACATGTTCGCCAAATCATTCAATATAAGCTTTCTCTCATTGGAATCACTCTGTTCCGAACAAAATTCAGATGCAAACAAGCACAAAGAGATTATTACTTTTACATCTGACGAAGGAGAAGGATCACCACCGAGTATGAATTGGTAGAGGCCGTGGTTGACGGCGACACGAGCCAACTTCTCGTTACATACATTTACGGCTCGCAACTCACGCAGCTCCTTCAGGTTGAGGTTAGGATACTCGATGTGGATGTGGTTCGTGAAGGCGAGACCAAGAACCGAGTCGTCGAGGAACTCGAGCCGCTCGAATAAAGGAGACTTCATAGTACTAGTTGAGGTGAGCGTTAGCGCTTCTCTCAGGAGGCTCTTATTCTCGAAACTGTAATTCAAAATCTTCTCCACCGCTTCCACGGGATCCATCTCCGGAATCTTCTCCACTGAATCCATCTCCGGAATCTTCTCCACTGAATCCATCTCCGGAATCTTCTCCTCTGAATCCATCTCCGGAATCTTCTCTACGGAATCTATCTCCGGAACCTTCTCTTTATCCACGGCTGCGACGGGAACTATCTCCGGCCAACGCAGAACGGCTGAGCTGAAAGGCGGCGCGTCGAAGAGACTAGAAAGAGGTAGGTAATAAGGCCACACACCATAAGCAGGGACTGGTCGTTAAATATCGGTAAATTTAAAAAATGGAAATTGGACTACGTTTTGAAAGTTTGAGGGATAATTTAGAAGAATATGATTATACAAAGGATTAAAAGCAAAATAATGTAATGACTCGAAGCCCTAATTAGAAAATTACCCGCCGGTTCCGATTTGTTAGAGTTGAAGAAGATTTTGGGTTTTCCTTGGCTCTCCCTCTTCTCACTCACTGGTCACCGCCTCTTCCCGTGATCGCCGGTTAGTCTTTCTTCCTAACACTTCCCTTTCGAGAAATCTATAGTGATACTAATTGCGGCGGCGGAAACGCTGTAAATTTGGCCTTTGTCGCTACTCTTGAATTGCAATTACAGTTAAACGATTCATAGTGTAGCTTCATTATAGTGCTTAGTTGTGCAAAGCTTTTGCTTATTAGGTATGTAAAACGCGTAAGTAGCATCAAGTTTTCTCTCGTCGTTACTCCGGCGAGGAGTTCATAGACGGTGTCTTCGTTACTTAAATGGTTGATTATGATTCTCCGTGGATTTCAGATAATTGGCAGCTGAATTTCAAGTTAAGGAGTGATGGTATTTGATCGCGAGGAGCTAGAGTATGTTTTTTTCGTGCATTCTTCATGGTTTTTTTTTTTTTTTTTTTGTTAATTCAGGCACTTTCCTATCTTCCAATGTTAACTCTTTTATTGAAACAGCTCGATCAACGATGACGGTTTCGTCGACAGGGCAAGGCTTGCAGCTCCTATCAAGTCTACAGCAGATAAATTCCAGCTCGTTCCCGAGTTCTTGAAGGTACACAGAACACGAAAGATTCATTTTTTTGCTCTATACGAATTCCTTTCCGAGTATTTGTGCAATCTTGGTCGCAAAGGTAGTTCATACCTGTGTCTTGTTTTGTAGGTGAGAGGACTTGTGAAGCAGCACCTGGATTCATTCAATTACTTCGTCAATGTTGGGATTAAAAAGATTGTTCGTGCAAACTCTCTTATTAAAACCACTCTGGACCCATCACTTTACTTGAGGTCTAACCTTCTTTTTTTGTATCATCTTTCTGATCTCAGTTTTAATTGGATTTGATAGTCTTGATATATGAGTATTGATATCATGTTTCATGAAAAGAAAAATAGATTAGTTGGTGGCTTTTCAGAGTCCTTTTCTAAGTCATCCTACAACATTTATATATAAACTGAGATTGTGCTCGTTGTTGGATTTCTGCTGTTTAAAAAGCTAACTTCTCAGAGCCATTTTTGATGCAGGTTTAAGGATGTCAGAGTTGGTGAACCCTCTATCATGAATAATAATATGGCTGAAAAAATTAATCCGCACATGTGCCGATTAGCAGACATGACGTAAGGAATTCTTCTATAAGTCTTTATAGTTTGCTGTTTGAGCATATATTTGGAAGTTGGAATTTGGTGCAGTCTTTTGCACTTTCTACCTGTTTCTGCTGTTCTGCATTTTTCTACGTCATCAGTTACATTCTTTGGCTCTTGGCCTTTTTTAAATGTGTTACAACTCCTTGTTTTAAATACCAGATATGCTGCTCCAATATATGTCAATATAGAATATGTTCATGGAAGTAATGGAAAGACGACACTAAGTGCAAAGGTAAATTGAATTTGCAATGTATTATACATAATGCTGCTTATCAACAAAAATGCAGGCTATATATGATATTCCTTTATTTTTAGGAGAACGTAATTATTGGAAGGATGCCTATCATGTTGCGGAGCTGCCGCTGTGTATTACATGGAAAAGATGAAGAGGAACTTGCAAGATTGGGTTTGTTTTGCACCCTTATTTCAAGCATTGCCTCTTCTTGTTCATCACATTTATTGTATTCCATTTTTTGATTCCAGGTGAGTGCCCTCTTGATCCTGGAGGATATTTTGTCATCAAAGGCACTGAAAAGGTGTTACTTCATGCTTCTTAGATATAATACAACTATCTTATAGTCTAGATTGATTGGCTTCTGTTCTACCCTTTTGACTTTGGGATATATGTTGTGCATTATTCCATCTCTTTAGTTCAGACTCGATTATGTGTTTGTTTAGCCGTTCAGCATTGTTCTTGTTTTAATTGGCGCGTTACAGTTCCTATATTTCCTGTCATTCGTTATGGAATTATTTCCTTTTTGCTTGACCTGAAGCCATGCAATTGACTGTGTTTGCTTTTCATTTCAGGTGTTGTTGATACAAGAACAACTTTCAAAGAACAGAATTATTATTGATTCTGATAAAAAAGGGAAGTAAGTGATCTCTTACAGTATTTCAGGCGTTGTAGTATTGATAGCAAGCATCCTCGTAAATATAACTGCCAAGCCAAATTATTGTATCATGCTTCAGCAGTGTTTTTCCATTAATTACCCACCCCTTATCCACATACCAATTTCACTATATACTGATTGCCTCTTCTTTACTTATTGTCAGCATAAATGCATCTGTCACAAGTAGCACTGAAATGGTTAAAAGCAAAACAGTTATTCAGATGGAGAAGGAAAAGATATATCTATTTCTTCATCAATTTGTAAAAAAGGTTTAGATACAATATCACGTCCTTCTTTTTAGTTGAAGATCTTTCAGGGTTGGACTCTAATAGCTGAGCATGTGATTTTGTAATAGATTCCAATTATAATTGTCCTCAAAGCTATGGGAATGGAGAGCGACCAAGAGATCGTACAAATGGTTGGAAGGGATCCCCGTTTTAGTGCATCACTGTTACCTTCTATTGAGGCAAGTATTATAGCCACATGCTATTTACCTTGTGTGTCTAGTTTATGGCCTTTTTGTAGTGATGTCAGTGTTTAAGTGAAGCTTTCAAGTAAATATAACGCTGGTTCTAGAAGCATTTTTTATAGGATTTTAAAATCTGTATAATTTTCGAATTTAAACTAGGAAGTAGTGATCCTTGTGTGGTTGATTGATTTGTCCTCGCAATTTCTTAGCTAAAACCTTTCTGTTGAATCTTAAAATAAATGCATTTTATTTTCCTTCCCTGTGGTTCTTATGAGCCTTGATATCTGAAGCATCACATTTATTCCTGTAAATGCTTGATTTCAGGAGTGTGTTAGTGAAGGTGTGAGTACACAAAAACAAGCACTGGACTATCTCGAGGCAAAGGTGCTTTGTTTAATTTATTTAGAAGTTTGTGTTCAATGATTTTAGTGGACACATATTACTGCCCCGTTGAGAAAGAGCTCTTTCTAGTGTTAAAAGGACCGCAGCCCGTCTCTCTATGCTGAGAGGAAATTCGTCATAGACTTACAGATTCCAAATTTTGTCAATCTGGCAAGAAATATGTGACGTATTCTTTTATTTGTTAATTTTTGTAGGTGAAAAAAACATACGGACCTTCAAATGAAAAGGTTGTTATTTTTACTCCACTATTACACGCTAATTCAACTTTTTACAAATGGATAATGTGTCTTTGGCCCTGTAAATTCGAATATGAAAGTTTTCTTGCTGAAATAAATATCGCATTGTATATTTACATGATTTACTAGGATGGAAGAGCTCCATACATTCTCAGAGAATTATTCCTTGCACACGTACCTGTGAGTATCTTAACTTCTTTTGATTCTTAAGGTTTTTGTCTTTACTTACTGCTACTTTCTTACCCTTAAGGTGCGTGACAACAATTTTCGTCAAAAATGTTTCTATGTTGGGGTGATGTTGAGACGAATGATTGAAGCAATGTTAAACAAAGATGCCGTGGATGACAAGGTAGTACCATAACCCTTATATCGGAAATTTACTTTTTGTACATATAGAATAGAACATTTTTGAATTCTTGTTCTTTACTTTTAGGATTACTGCTGTATGACATGTTAAATTGCCCAAAACTGCCTAATCAAAAACAGGGAGGGGCATGCGAAATGGCTTACAATTTCTTTTGGCGGTCTCTTTCCTTAGAAGAGCCAATATATATGTCTTCTCCTGATGATGGCTAACTTATTAGTCTTTGATCTGTGATAAATTAAGGATTATCTGGAGACAAGTCTTATTATTACCCGGAAGTTCATATTGCTTGTATGTATTCTCTCAAATGTGTGTCTTGTTGTAGGATTATGTTGGTAACAAGCGGTTGGAGTTATCTGGACAACTAATATCTCTGCTCTTTGAGGTATCGCTTGAACATATCCCCAGATGCAGTACTTTCTCTTTCTTTTTCTTGTAAGATTTTGTCGTCTAGTCTCTAGTCCTTATTATTTTCCTCCTTCTCGCTGCTATAGGATTTGTTCAAAACGATGATGACTGAGGCCGTTAAAACAGCAGATGCTCATCTTCAAAAGAGTAGCCGGGCAAGCCGATTTGATTTTTCACAAGTAAGTGTAGATATATACCGCCCTGTTAGTTCAGATTTTGCATTCAATTTTATTAAACCATAATAACATGTGGCCTTAGACATCTATCATTTGGATTTGTAAATGATATTCAGTCAAAATAGCAGAAAGAATTCATGTTTTGAGATTTTATTCTTTGTTCATCATGTAGCTATGAACCGGTTTTCTTTCATGGTTCTTGAAGTAACTAAAAGGTATTGACGTTTGCAAATAAGCCCATTATTAGTTGTAGCTACGTGTTATTATGCCGATTGGCAATTGTTTTATGAATTTATATATCCCTTGGATATTCCACTGCAACTTGAATTGCTAGAACTAAAATATTT